CTAACATGTAATTAAGGTAGTGTTATTCATGCAGTAGTTCATATGACTCATGTCGTAGTTAAGTTAGTTCTTCATTAGTTCTTGATTAATACATATCTTAACTCATCATTAGTTCATAGTCAAGTAATTATTAATTCAGGTATTAGTACATGATAATTCATGTACTGTTATTGTAAAGTGTTACCAAAATATTAATAAACAGGCTGTTGCCCCAAAACAACAAAGATATCACAGACTAATAAAAGAAACCTCAGGTAGAAGTTTCTTCCTGGTGTTCAATGACACGATTAAACAAATGTAAGAGCGCAGTGAAATATCTTTTAATAAACTAAACGAAGTAAACAAACTGTCTTCTGCTTGCTAATGTCTCATAAATTAGTAATAATGTGTAGTCATGTAAATTCATGTCATTCTGCTTGCTAATGTCTCATAAATACTTCATAAATCATCGAGGAAACGTTGCTGCATGTATCTGTTTCTTACCTGACGCCATTTTGACAGCAACACAAACATCGAAATCGAAAGAGAAACACTGAGAGTTGACCTGCGCCCCGCCTGCGGAGACTGAGAATTTTTTTTAATATATATTTATTGAAATACAATTTTCTGCGTCCATTTATTTTCCTTCTTTGAACCAGAAATGTAACACGGAAGATGCGGTTTCTTCTTGAATTGTTCTGATGAACTGAATAAGCAGATACAAACTCATAGAAATGTATTTTTAATATAAATAAATGCAGTAGCAGCTCCTGGCCATTAATTTAGATGCAGACGCGCTTCTGTGTCTTTGCGTGATTCCGCCAGAAGGTGGCGCTATAATGATGAATAACAGGATCTATACACGCACAGAACGGTGTCTTACTGTATTCTGACTCGTTTATAGTCTGCGGAGATGGAGAAGCATTCAAGAAAATGTTTCATTGTGTTTTGCACATTATACTTGTACACAACATGACAATTAATGACTTTAACTTGACACTTGAAGAAGCTGGGTAAAAATAAACATAGCACTTCATTTTCTATTCATCTATTAGATTGTACAAAATTACATTCCTAAACTCGAAACCCTTTAAGACTAGCGTTCATCTTTGAAACAAAACCTAAGATACTTTAATGAAGCCTAAGAGATTTGTGTCCATCCAAATAAACCCAAAAAGAACACGTTTCGTGTTTTATTTTGAAATGGGGAAAGTGTAAAATTACAGTAACAGTACAAATGCACACTACGATACTTCATATCTATAATAATAATACCGAGTCATATTAAAATCGAGTTCTTGCAGGACAGATTATTTGCCTGATACACATCACAGGGCTGAAGAAAAGTATTTCACAGGTTTTGTTGAAACCTAAAGGTTTTAAGATCACAAATAAAACCTGCATAAGTGCACTTAAGCGAAGCGTTTGCTCTAGTCTCAGTTACTGTGTGAGGTTACGGGGAATAATCAGGCTGCTGAAATCCAGATGAACACTATTAATACTGTGAGGGTTTAAAGCTTCACGCTCCTCATCTTCCTCTGGTTTGGCACCCTGATCTCGGGCTGGTCTGGGGTCAGTTGAGCTGCTGCTCAGAGCCGATGTCTGTGTAGATATTACTGACGATATGAGTCAGATCCAGACTCTGGGTCAACATCACCGACAGAACCTCGTCCGCCTGGATGCCCTCGATGAACTCATCCAGAGACAGCTCGCCTGAACACACACACAGATACATATGTAAATCACATTGCTTCATTTGCATATTTAAATAGCATAGATACACAGATTACCGTCTCCGTTAACGTCGATCTTGTTAAACACCATGTCGGTCAACTCCTCCGCGGAAAACTCCTGCTCTACTCCGTTAATGGCTTCAATGGCCTGGAGCCAAAAAACATCAACAACAAAAGACAAAAGTGAGTTCTGTGGCATAAGACTCACCAGCAGAAGAGAAACACTGATTTAAAGGGACAGTTCATCTAAAAAAACATATGTAAATCACATTGCTTCATTTGCATATTTAAATAGCATAGATACACAGATTACCGTCTCCGTTAACGTCGATCTTGTTAAACACCATGTCGGTCAACTCCTCCGCGGAAAACTCCTGCTCTACTCCTTTAATGGCTTCAATGGCCTGGAGCCAAAAAACATCAACAACAAAAGACAAAAGTGAGTTCTGTGGCATAAGACTCATCAGCAGAAGAGAAACACTGATTTAAAGGGACAGTTCATCTAAAAAAGAAACTCCTGTCATCCTTTCTCACTCTCAAGTAGATCTTCCAAACCTGTAAGATGATGTTTTGAAGAACGTTGGGAGCCAAACGGTTGACGGCAGCCACCATAAGTATGGGAGAAAAAAAAATACTATAGAAGCCAATGGGTGCCGTCAGCTCTTTGGCTCCCAACATCACCTTTTGTGTTCAACAGACGCTCATACAGGTTTGGAACAACTTGAGGGTGAGAAATGATGACGGTTTTCATGTTTGGGTGAACTATGCACGGTTTAATGTGGATTCTGTGACTCCAGCAGGTGGCGCTGAAGAGAAAAACAGACGCCACTGATTTAAAGGGACAGTTCATCTAAAAAAGAAACTCCTGTGAT